GTAAATCAAAAGCATAATAGAACGTGACCAATCATCCTCCTTTAGGGAGGACAGTCTTTCTTTTGTAAGTTGTGGTGTCCTTCCTCGAAAAGTGCCCTCCCACATGTCCTCCTTTTCGATGTTTTAAAATTAATCTATTAATACAGATATTAATAGAGATACCGCGCCGAACTATTACGCGTCATGTAACGGTACAGTTCGGAAATAGACCAAGCAAATTAAATTTTTACTTTACGGATTCGCTAGGATTCAACTTACGTTCTTTAAATTTAGAATTCTAAGTACTATTACTACTCATAAAATAATGTAAAAATTGATTATTTAATTTTCATAATTCATAATAATTTTATTTCATTAATTCAAAATTGTACGAATAGAGTGCAGAAAAAAAATAAAAGGGCAATAGTATCNTTCTACCAATGAATCAAAGAAGCAAATAAATTTCAAAAATGTCACCTTTCCACTCATAATTGTAGTGATACAACAGCGGTATCGTTTTGACACATATTATATATATATTTTAGTGTTTGTAAGTAACAAATCAGTAAAAACAATGCAAAACTAGCACGACGCCACACAATTATGTACATATTCCAATAACATAACCTCATTACTGATCTGAGGCTGGAAATCTGTTGGGTTGGTACTTCCGAACATCACGAAGAAATTGACGAAAATTGGAACATGGTCTAATTCGTCAAGAACTTGATGAATAAATTGATGAAGTTATTTGACAACTGATTTGGTGCATTACACTTGTCCAATTTCTTGATGAAGCGACTTCATCAATTAATTGATCAATAAATTGTCGATGTAAAACAGCTATTAAGGATAAGAAATTAATATAATTCCAATTTCACTAGAATTGAACTTAAACAATGTTTTCACCAATCATCAAAATAATCTATTTCTTATTTCTGTATCTTAGATATACAAACCGTAACACTTGGTAGGTACAATTTTTGAAATTTGATTTAAAAAAATTATAAACATAGCAAATAACGCAATAACGCAAAACAATATTAAATAATATGTTCAAAATGACCCCTGTTAGCTCTTACGCACACTATACATCGACGAACCAACGACTGGTAGACTAAACATAATCCCTTGTGTATTATTCACTACTATTAAAGCGTGATGAATTCTTTCTCTGAGGTCATTTTCATGTTGCGGTACAGTGCGATAAACAAGCTGTTTTAAGTGAACACATACAAAGAAATCTATGGGATTAAGGTCCGGGGACCGTAGTGGCCAACGAATTGGTCATCTTTTTCCTATCCACCTATGTCCATAGGTGTATAGGAACCTGTAACAGTAACCTGTCTTGCATTGTATGGAGAAGCACGGTCATGTTGAAAATGAACATATTGCCTTTTTCAATTATTAGTGTGCAAGTGTAATTTTTTTAAGAAATTATATCTATTTGAAAGAAACGCAATGTTGAATGAGCAACAATACTTATAATTGCTTCAGAATGGCATAAATGAAATTTTAAAGGTGTTGCCATTGAATATGCTGTCCACTGCACTGTAGTGCAACAAATGAATGAACTCAGAGAGGGAATTCACAGCATTACGAATACAATAAATAATACACAAGGGATTATATTTAGAAATTACCACTCGTATCGCCAAAATTATTTAATATAATAATATGATTTTAAAAACCGACCAAAACGGTGAGAGCTTGGTGATAAGGTAATTCTGAATTATTTATTGAGTTCTATTTGTAGTTAAAGTTTGATTCACTCGAACTGAAACACCCTGATTTAAGACTAAAAAGATGATTAATTGGTGTATGATATAAATTAGGCAAAATGGAATCCCTTAGAAGACATTAAAATAAATGAAATAATCATATCCGCAACGTCCATTGTTTTCTGAATGCAAGGTGTCAAATGAAAATATGACTTCCTGTAACTATGTACACATTAAGTTATACTTATGTGGTGTATACGTTGTCCACCAAATAATGATCACACCAGTTAGAGTTTAATTCTTTATTAGATTTACATACAAAAATTGAAATAATAACACTTGCTGTGCCGATGCCGGTCAACTGTAGAGAGACCCAGATTTCCTGCCTAAGGGTACGGTCAGCTACCCAGAAGGGTAGATTTATGACACGACAAGTGCTTCTGAGACAGGCAAATCTGTTTCAATACAATTTCTTATTGTAAATATTTTCTATGAACGCAGAGGCGTACCAGGGAACGTGTGTCCCCACAATTAAAACTGTGTATCCGTTGACAAACATTTAAAATGAACTTATCTTGCTATTTCATCTTTAACATTAAAAATAAAACGTAACTCATTAAATATTTACAGACCTTTACGGTTATATAATTAGATTGAAATAACTTAAAGTTGTATGGACAGCATTATTGTATAAGAGCAGAAAGAAAAGAATTAATGGAAGTCCCTAAATTCTTTATTACCGTAATTGCTTTCAGCAGCATCCAACGACTGCTAATTGCTTTTAATTCTAAAAAATATTTTTCATACAGAATAACTTAATTTGTTCACAACTTCTCCGGCTCCAATTATTGGAACAAATTAGGGTATTTACTTAAGAGCAATTTACATATCTTTACCCTTAAATGGTAATGATCGTTTTCTAAAGTGAATTCGGCAGCCGGAGATTTCTCAAGTCACAAGACTGATCCTAGGGGAAAGCCTGATAAACCAGGCTCTAATTATCCTGCTCCACCATTTAATTAAGAGCAACTGTGATCTTCGTTCGTCTGTAATTTAATATTAATTAAACACCCCGATGAAGAGTCTCGTATACCTACACCGAAAGGTAAAAGGATGTGCTGCGATACATGTCTTATTGTGTTCATTATTCTGATGTGTAAGCCGAGATAAGTTACTTTAATTTACTTGCAACTAAGATATAAATATATCTATATATTTACGCAAAAATCTTAAATTATTGTAAATAGTAACTTGCTGAACATTTATACAAAAAATGCATTATATACAGGGTGGTCCCGAGGTAATGGGCCAAAATTCATGGGTAGATTTCCCAAGCAAAAATATTGCGATTTAGCCGAACTTACCTTAGTCCAAAAGCTTCTTAAGTAGGATTTGGACGAAAATCAAATAATTGGCGTTTTCCACTTGTCTTATTGGTGTCATTTGTATGCTAATTTCTATTAAGTATTATTCGTACCTAATTAAAATTACATACTTAAATTACAATGTAAGTTGTATACTCGTATACATAAATATCAGATAGAATGCCGAGATTTTCGTTTTTGGAGTTACATGAAATCAGTTGTGAAGAAACTATAAACACCAGAGCACCAGAACTTTAGCAGCAGGTTTTAAATGCTGCAAAGTCATTTTACGTTAAGGATTTATACTTAAAAATTCGACTAGACAATCTTTTAATAAGCGCGTTGATAAATGTATTGATGTACGTAGAGGTGGACATTTTGACCAATTATTATCAAAAATACATATTTTTGCAAACTTTTACTATTTTACTATTCATTACAATATATAATTCTAAATAAACCATTGTTTTTGACATTTCTAAATTATTTTAATTATTTCAACTATTAGCATTGGAAGTTGCAAAGCCAAATATCTCGGAAACGGTGCGAGACAGCTACTTTCATAAAGTTTACCTGGTTTGTGTAAAAAAATTTGGAAAATAAGAATTTGATACCAAATATAAGATACCTTAAAGTACAAAAAAGTTATGTCGTTTTCAACATATTTAATCTACGGCAGCTGGCACCCTCTATGAAGTATAACCATAATGTGAAAAAATTTTAATTCCTCTACCCAAAGAACCCCAAATCACACCCTGTATCTCTTTAACTATCAACTTTTGTACTAAGGTAAGTTCAGCTAAATCGCAATACTTTTGTTTCGGGAATTTGCCCATAAATTTTGGCCCATTACCTCGTGACCACCCTGTATATGTCATAAACCTAACAGGCCAAATTTTTTAGGAAATTTCAGTATATTTTACAAAAGCTAAATTAACTTAGAAAGATAGTAGTGGTTCTTCAGCGGAGGAAACCTAGATACGGTTGGATTACTCATAATAGATGGAAAGCTAAAAACCTATGGTCCCTATTTTAATGTATACGTCGATATTGAGATCTAGCCTTCTTTATAGTGCAGTGGTCAGATAGCTACAGATGAAGTAAATATGGAAAAAATTAGATAGACCAGTATTAGTATGACAAGAAACATATCTTTGAACTCCAACAAATGTCTTGTAAGTTTGTGAAATTTGCCACCATTTCCATATTGTCCTGAAAAGAGAATAAGAATGAGAGCGTACTGCACCAGGATGATTGACGATGCTACCTTATAAAAAGGAACACTTCAAGGTTATAAATGAATTTATACCAGTTATGATTGAGAACAACAATTAGAGAAAAGGAACACCCGAAGTTATTTATACGTTTCTATCTGAGCTAATTTTAGAAATAAATGAATAGCTCAAAAATGCAACGTTAATAACAATTTCGAGAGAAGAACAGAGAATTAGTAATGAGAGGTGACATATAAATCGGAAATAAGAAGTCTGATGCGTTTTACGCATGGATTCAAAAAATATACTAGAAGCTTAAAGAAGCTGAAGTCCAGGTAGTAAACTATAATCTGGGACCTTTTTTTACAATATTCTAAGAATAAATTTTCCCTACAAGTGATCGAGAATATGCGGAGAGGCTACAATAAAGGCCTTAGTTGCGCGGTCCGAAACGGTCTTCCTAGGGCCAGAAGCAGTAGCAAATAGAACATCCTGAGTACTAGAACAAGCCCTTATATAGGAAAGGCTAAACGTTATATCACAGAAGAAATCAAGTCAAATGCTGAATGAACAAGAGTAGCCTCGAATAGTGGATGCGAGGGCTTTGCAGGTCCGAGATTCGGATTATTTGATAAATCTTTTTTAAATACGAGAAAACTGAGTCAGCAAGTAGTCTTAATTTTACTTTTCTTTATATACTACATATTATAACAACATTGTACTCACCCCGTTCTAGCAAAATTAGCGATGTAAATTATAAACGACTCCGCCAAAGCCAGCTCGGATCGTGTGTAGTTTTTAGGGAAGTGATTGAAACCATCAACTAAAGGTGCACCAAATATATAAGGAAGTTCTTCGCCATGTACTGTGCCCATTCTCTGGAAAATATGACCCTACATTAGAATTTTATGATTACAAATAAAATTACTAAAATAATTTGCACGATTTTGGTATCAGCTAATGATGATTACATAAATTTCCAACAGTGCAAATTCACTAGGGAACGGTAACTAATAAAACGTTATTAACCAGGATAACAAGCGTTAATTTCTACACTGTAAAAATATTTCAATATGTATTTATTAATTTACAGATGATTTCTATCTTTATTAAAAGGTTGTATGCTTCCTGAATTTTTTTCGTAGAATGAAGAAAACCCAAAAGATTATGAAAATATTATAAATTCATCAGGATCAGACAATGGCAAAACGCAATTATATTAAAAATTATCTACCTTGATTCAGAAATTCCATGAAAAAAATAAACGTAAATGCTTTTGTTGGAAGAGAACTGTACAAATTTTTAAAAGAAGATTCTTTGTGATATCAGATAATATTTTTGTTAGTATAAAATTCTTCAGAAGTAATTTCGATGCTACTGGTAATATGTACAAATCTTCAATGGTTTCTGAATAATTGATAAGAAACTGTGTTTTCGGAAAAAAATCTACCGCTAATTTTTTGTTTATTTTCACGAGAGGAATATATTCAGAAAAATTATCGCAACGTCGGTGTTACTTCTTGTGGTGGGTCTTTTTTCAATATTTGAGTATAAGTATTTCCAATCATTAGAGACACAGTGTCACAATAAAATATGATAGCGTATAAACATGCTGTCCCTATTATCACGAAGAGGCGTATGTGTATATCCATTTCTTGGATTATACGCCCCTACGTGATAAGAGGGACGATACATAAGGAAATCCCGTTAGGCATTTTTAGTGATCTGTCAAAGGCTTTTGATTGTATTGATCGCCAAAAATTACTTGACAAGCTGAAGTATTATGACATAATTGTCAAGGAAAACAATTGGTATAAAACATATTTATTTGAAAGCCAGATGTGTACTGAAATAGTCGAAATAAAAAGTTGTGTATCAAAAAAAATTCATTCCGGATTTGCCGGAGTTGAAAACGAAGTTCCACAAGGTTCTATTTTGGGACCACTATTATTTCTGTTGTATATTAATTATATCGTCCCAAATTTTTCAGAGATCAAATTTTCATTATTTGCTGACGACACCAGCCTGTTAATACAGAATGCTAACAAAAACGATTTAATAACCAAAGTACAAAATATTTTAGAACACGTTTCTGATTGGTTTCTTGCAAATAAGCTGATGCTAAATTGCAATAAAACTAACAGTATAACATTTCAATTACGTGGAATTACAGATACCTCTTTAAAATTAAATAGTGATCAAATATGCTCAGTACAATCCACAAAATTTTTTGGCATTTATGTCGACTCTCAATTGAATTGGATGGAGCACATAACCAATTTAAAGACAAAGCTAGGAAAAGCCATATATGCAATACTAACTCTTAAACGAAATATTGATTTTTCTACCGCAAAGATTTTTTATTATGCATATTTCCAGAGTGTATTGCAATATGGAATTGAGTTTTGGGGAGGATCTACTAGTTCTGAATATGTATTCCTGGTACAAAAAAAGGCAATAAGAATTCTATGTGATTTACCTCATAGAGAATCTTACAGAAGATATTTTTAAAAAATTGGAATCTTTACCCTTACTAATCTATATGTTTACAGATTATCTATTTTAATTCATAAAAATAAACATTTGATCAACACACCAAGTAATTGTCATAGTTATCCTACACGTCATCAAAATCTCACTTTACCACAATATAATTATAGAACTCGCAATGGTGCTTTGTATTCGGGGATAAAGGTTTATAATAAATTACCATCTCATATGAAGACATTAAACAGTAAAGTTTTCAAGCGAAAACTAAAAATCCTTTTACGAGGTCATGAATTCTATTCTTTAAATGAATTTTTTATCAGTGCACTCTAAGGCAATAAGAGTGTATCACGTCTTTTATTAATATTAAGTTTTAACTTGTACATGTAAAATACATAAATATGTGTCTGTTTATTTACTGTAAATTTTTTATTCCCTTTGTATTTTTAATGTTTAGCTGTAGGTTTATACTGTATGGGTATGTTTATTCTTCTTTTTTTAATTTTTACATTCTTTCCATTTTTGGGGCAAAAAACGCAGATATGTAAATATGTTGGTATACTTACTTAATATTTATCATCAACACAATACTTTCCTTACACCTTTAATTCGGTTTTTATGTTATTCTTCTCTAATCTCAAAAATTTTTTTTCTATTTATGTAAGTTCATAGTGTAATAACTTGAGGAAATAAATGTTTACTTACTTACTTACATTTTTATTTTCAAAACTTTTAGCTTATATTGGAATTATTGTTTCCGTGATCTTCCATATCTCGTTGCTTAATGACCACTCTGTACAGACTTCAACCCAGTTATTAACGAGTCTCTGAAATTCTTAATACCGTAAGTAAACCGGTTAGAAGAAACCCCACATTTCCTAACCTCGAAATAACGTTTCCTCTTCCTTAATACATTAAATCCCTGTAGGGACTTAAAACCCTTGAGACGACTTTATCCTGCTCCAGGACAAGCAGAATATATCATTCAGTTACTATCGCTACACTAATATAAATTCCTATCATTTGGTAAATTTTTGGAAGATTCAGCAATGTACAAGGTCGCGTAATTAAATTATAAACTAAATATTTTATTTGCCCTACTTTACTTCAAAAATTTAAGAAAAATGAAGTGTTCAAGTCATATTTTACTATAGCAAAGATAGTTTTTAAGTTAGGAAAGTTTTTTGGATCGTAAACAATAACTGCTTAGTATTTTAAGGGGCGCCATCTGTAATGGTTTTGATTTTATTTTGAAGTTAATCTATCACAATTTTTTTACCGTTATGTATTTAGAAATTATAATTATTAAGTTGAAGACATATCAGCAGACACAAACTGGAGAAAATATTTGAAAAATGCATACTTGGTTGGCATAAATACTTTGTGCACATATTTTCCTCGGCGGTTCCATATACCATTCATTAATTCATTGTTATTTATGGGTGGACCATTGTATTGTGTTTATTTACACTTTTTAACACTGACCCACAAACGCCAGACATACTCTTCACTAAAAACACACTGCTAAAAATAAGAATTCAAAAAAATAAATAGCTTTACTTAACTGTTTGATAACTAATATGTTCTGTTCATTAAAAAAAAAAAGATGATACAGAAAAGCAGACGGCGCGGCGTGGTATCTATGGCCACAGCTGTTCGCATTTTTTTCAATAGAGGACGACTCCAGAGGCTGTCAATAAGTTTAAAAAATGTATTTAATTAAATTAAAAATTATTAATTTTAAGTATCGTTTTGCACTTTGAGGGTTTATGATTGTTGAAAATTCTATATATCATTAAAAAAATCTTTCATCATGTTTGAAAACACCCTGTATATCGTATTATTTAGTTACAGTCAAAAACACAACATATTATTGTTATGCTAATTTCTACTCTGATATATTTCCAAAAACCTTTGAAACATACAGGGTATCCCGTAATTCTTGCAACAAAATTTGATCATAGATTCTTAAGACAAATTTAGCGGACCCGTATTTTTTCTTTTTGCCAACTGGCCCCCTCTTTCGGAGTTACAGACCCCTGAAAAAAACCATGTTGTACGAGAATCACTAAATTTGATACACTGGGCTTTTATGACAAGTGGAATCTCACAGTGCAACGCTTTTTGGCGAGAACCCCCCTTAAGACACTTTTTCGTGGGCCCCCTTGTCTTTGGAACTAGAAAAATTTGGTCGCAAATTTGATTTTTTTTTTTAAATTAGGTTAGCTAGAAAGCCATTGAATTTAGAAACTTTTTTGTCTCTTGCGTTTCGCAAAACGCAATGTTTTTGAGGAAAATGGCGAATTACGATATGCATTCGATCACATCTTGACATTTTTCTCGAAAACATTGCGTTTTACGAAAAATGTATAAAGCGACAAAAAGTTTCTAAATTTAATGACTTTCTAGTGGGCTGATAATTTTTAAGAAAAAATATGCGACCACATTTTTTTGGCTCCAAAGACAAGGGGGCCCACGAAAAAATTGTCTTAAGGGGGTTCCCCGCCAAAAAACGTAGCACCATCAGATTTCACATGTCATAAAACCCCTGTGTACCAAATTTAGTGAATCTCGTACAACAGGGTTCTGAGATATAAAAAAAAAGATTATTCTTAGCGGCAAACTTCAGCGGGCTGTAACTCCGAAAGAGGGGGCCACTTGGCAAAAATAAAAAATACGGGTCCCCTAAATTTGTCTTAAGAATCTGTGACCAAATTTTGTTGCATGAATTTCGGGACACCCTGTACAATGGCAATTATTAGAATTGGGTTGTAGAGAAAGTACATTTTTGCAGATTTTCATTGCAGAAAAAAATTTTCTGGTCTTATTTTTATTAGCTAGTAAGTAAAAAATTCATGATTTAGATAATTGACAACAATTCAGTGTTTTGTTATCATTCTCATATTCGAAAACGCTCAAATCCGACGAAATTTCACCAATCTATGGTGAAAAGAATTACATCAATAGTTGAAATACCTGAGTAGGTACTTTAGATACGACAAAATATTAAATTACAGTTGTGACAAATTCTCTATATCCTTATCAACTTTTAGACTAAGATAATTTCGGTTTCACAATTACACAGTTACACCCTTCTAACTATATCTGGATTACCTTGGACATCATGTGTAACTATAGATTGGACCACAAAAATAACATTTTTTAATTTTATGTTTCGGTGTTACTGCGTAATGAATAAAGCCTATCTCTACGTTAGAATAATTTTGATCTACATAATCCACATTATTACATTTTCTTATAGTTCACATTCATTAGTGCTATATGTTAATGTGGTTGCCTAATTGGGATTGGAATAGGGCGACGGAAACCTCGAAATTTATAAAGTAGAGGCATATTTGCCTTTGTCTTGGTTCGGAAAATAATAGTGCAG